GTGTGGGCTCTCTGATGGGTATGCGATTAAAGCAAGTATACAAATTATGATTTTATTTAATGTGCCAACTCCTTTTTAATTCCAAAAGTCATTTTAAGTTTTGTTCATTTTGTCTCACTTTCAATACATGAGCGAGTGGAGTGAAACCTGGATCACAGCCCGACCTGTGAACAGGCTGTTATTTTTACACCAAAATGAAAGTTTTTCACACTAACAGATGCAAGAAATTGGCCCTGTTTGAAACTCTTTGAAATATTTGATTCAGACATATCGATATGCAGTTTGATTGTGTGGATCTAACGGTTTTGAATTGATCCTGCTAAATCACAGGTGTCAAACTCAAGGCCCAGGGGCCAAATCTGGCCCAATGTAGCTTTTTATGTGGCCCTCTATCAGTCTTTCCAGTTTTTCACAACTGTGTAAAATTCACGCAAAAACAAATGTCCACTTTTTTTTCTGATTTTAAAGCAAATTTTCTCAAAATTGGTCAAAAACATTGACTCCATAACTGATATAACAAGTGGTAAAGAGTCACATCATGCATGAGCAACAATATTGTAAAATTCCTTACAAATATTTCTAAATATTCATCACAGAAAGTCAAAAAAATACTGAAACAATCATAAAGTCCTGTTGGAGCAGCTATTTGTTGGTATTTTAACAGTTTAATTGGTTTTATCAGTATATTCTGGCACAACCGGCCCTTTAAGAACAATCAGATTTTTGATAAGGCCCAAAATGAAAATGAGTTTGACACCACTTTGCTAAATCATGACTGACCTGCGGTGATTCCTGCTTTTTTGGCTTTTAGCAAGAAAAATTTTGCTTTAGCAAATTATTTTTCTTATTAGTTTTCTCTACTGATTAAAAGCAGTAGACAAAACTAATAGACATAGCAGTAGACATGGCAGTATATTAGCTATTTTATGTTATAGCTAATATAAAGTGTAAATATTAGCTATAAGACTGTCTTTTTTATGCTCATTTTGTTCAATATGTGAAACTTGTTTGAATCATTTTGGGTTTATCATTTTGGTTGCCACTGGGTTTTACTCCTGCAGTATTTCCTGAAAAACATTTCTAGCTTAAGAAAGCTTTCACACTTTTACAAAAACCCATGCTAGCAGATAGCTTTTGAAAATCCTTAGTTACAGATGGGAATGTGTCATGACTTACGTTAAAATTGTGTATTTGCTACATTGTTTAGACGGCTAAAGTCCGTCCTGGTTGTTACTGGGCTTATCACCAATTCTTTTTCCATTTCACACACATATATTGTTACTTTGTCACTTCTGACTTCCATTTCCTTTACGCAAATAAATCATTTCTTGCTTGTGTACGGTACTTAGAGCATTGCGCATAAATTTCTAGGAATTGTGGGACATGGGAAAGATGATGTTGCTTTCAAATAAAAATGTAAATGCAGTTGAAAAGGTGTAATTAACATCTTTTGATGTCAAAATGCTGTCATAATGTTGTTGGGGATGATAAAGTCGGCCAATCAGACCCAACCTGCAACGTCTTTAAGTATATAAATCCAGTTTACGCTTTAAATCTACATCTGCCCAGAAGTAATGAATACATTTTTATTTAGAAACAATAAATGCTCATTTTCTGAAAACACTTCTGATGATTTTCATCTGGAAGGGCATGAACTATGTAGACCTCTGCAAGAAAAGGTTTTTGTGCTGTTGAACTGAAAACTGCCTTTTGGGTGAATGCAGCACACAAGAAAGTTTATTGAGTGGAAAAACAAAATCCATCATGTTGCATCGTGATTCTAAACAGCTTTAAATAAAGCACTTGCTTGGAGAAAGTGAGTGGTCTGTGATTGCACTACAGCCACAAATAGCTGTTGTTTAATGATAACCCTTTGACATTAACACTGGTGCTTTCAGTTACAGTGAAAATATTATTTATGCAGACTTCCCTACAATAGTAACTCTGCAACTGTGTGTTAAACCTACAATGTCCTGACAAATTATGTATACAACCTTCATTCTACCTGTGTACTTAATGAGGATTTTCTGTAATGGAACAACACAAGGCAGGGCACAGCTGTGAAAACGTTTTTTCAATATTTTGTCAAATAGGTGTCTCCTTTTTGTTATTTTTTTTTTTTGCTGTAATTAGAGGCTCAGCTTTATTAGTGTATCTCTCACCAACTTTCCAGATCTAAACAGAGAAAATGTTACCTTTTCATCTTGCATCTTAAGCTCTGCCATATTGGTGGCTGCACATCCATGAACAACAATCTTCAAACCACAAATTTTTAGATTCTTCTTTTCTAACACAGCACTGTGTTTTGATCTAAACCCTGCTATTATCTACCCTTCTGATTTGCCCTCTACACACCTTAAACAAAATGTCGCATGCGGTTCTTCAAGCAATGTCGTTATTCTTTCCACTCTTTCATAAAAGGCAGATCAGTGGAATAATAACCGTCCCACTTACAGATCCTCCCACCTCAGCTTGTGTTTGGCTGCTCCATTATTTACCAGCCTCCATAATGGCCGCCTCTTCTGATGAATGTTGTTCGTTTCCTTCCTGTCATCCTAGAGTGAAGGCCACATCCTGGCAGGTTGCCAGCCATAGCCGCTCTCATCCAGTTTTCAGATGATGATTGAACAGAGCTCTACGAAACATGTTTTACAACCTAGCCCTGCTTTAAACTTCTCCACAACTTTCTCCCCGACCTGCTGGCTGTATGCCTGGGTCGTTGTGCTGCTGTTTGTTTACTAATGTTCTTTAATTACACTGATGTTGAATTATATTGGACAACAGAAGTAAATCAACTGGTCAGATGACTTTTACAGAGAGTCATAACCTTGGATTTCATTAATGAATGACCAATTAATCTCCTTTGTAGCAGTTCATGTATAGGCTGTTTGACTTTTCACTGTTAAAAACCATTCAACATTTTCCTTGAATTTCATACTATGTGCCATCTGTGTTGTTCTGCCATATAAAATCATATACATAATGTATCTATACTTAGGATTTTGGATGTATAATGTGAAAAGATTCTGACATCTTATGTTAACCCTCTCAGGCTTAGTTATTTGGAAAGACTGTCTAAGTTGTTGCAAATCTGCAACACCTGCCTGGAGAGGGTTAAACCACTGTTACTTTATACTTAATTAAACTGATGTCTTCCTTTAAACTAGGTTTTAGCAAGTATGACATTCATAGATTGGATGATTAAATTATGGGGGTCCCTGGGCTGGAGAAGGTTTTGGTGCCTCATACACAAAGAAAAAATTAATTGACTAATACAAATTATCGTACATTAACAAGTAGTCAGATACATGAGTTCATACTGATGCATGGCAGTCTTAATGGTCTGTGGCTCCATGTTGTTCTAAAAAAATTTTTTTACTGTAATTTATTTTTAATTTTTAACTCATCTGTTTTTTTTTGTTTGTTTTTTGTACACAATTTTATTTACACAATGTTTTCAAAACACATAACAAAAGAGAAAAAAGAAACTAAAAAACAGAACCTCCTCCCCCCAAAAAATGCAGTCCTGGGCTACTGCCCCTGTAAACAAAGATTTCTTTCTTTCTTTTTATAATTCCAGAAGTACATATTTCAAAATGTGCTCAAAATACCTTCTTCTCCACTCCTCTTCTCTCCTGCTGATCTTTCCTCTTTGACGAAGCAGCAGCTCACACGTTTCTGATGGCACTTATATGAAAACATCAGCTCTAGTCTGTCGTTTTCTGTGGTGATACAAAACGCTGATCCACCGAGAGCCAGATGTGAAATGCCAGATTCAAAACGCTTTCACACGTTCCCCTGCGCCCTCCCAGCCTCGCGGCGTCACACTGGGAATCCATTATGTGAAGTCACTCCTTTTCAGCCAGCCTGCCAGGCTCCGGCTCCGCTCACCGGAAAATGCTGACTAAAGCCACCAGCTGATCTACACACTCTCACATGATGGCATTTAAATTTTTTTTTTTTTTTTTTTTACTTACTTTAGGAAGAGTGCATTATTTCTTGAGAAAGTGTTATGACTTACACTGCAGTCTTTTCATGAGAGCGACAAAATAATTTAGTCGGCTAGAAAAACATTAAACGATTTGCTTTAATAAAGATTAACCACTTAACCCTCTGGTGCTGTACTGTATTATTCAGTTTAATTTAGTTCCACAAATCACTTCTTGTATGCGCTGCCTTTTCTCCATTTGCTACAGTAATGACAACTATAACTGTGAATAAAACTAATAAGAATTAATAAAGTAGTACAGATAAACTTGATAACATGAATTTTGATTGAACTTCTCACTATTATTTTTTTCTTTTTAGGAAATAAGAGTTAATATTGTTTACTCAAGGCAGGAGGGAGTAACAAATTGCACTTGTGATTTTTCTTTTTTAGATTCAGGTTTGTGTTACTTTGGTAAATTTACAACGTTTCAAAAAAAGGAAACAGAACAAAACGATATTTTATAAACCAATGATTTACCAGAGCTTATTGCCACAATAACTGTTCTTGTACATACATTTACAGTATGTATAAATATGCATGTATTCAGGTATATATACACATCCACCAGTATAAGCATTCATAATTTTACACTTTGAGGATTTTTAAAGCTCACCAACATAAATGAAGATTATTATCCAACTTTTTCCACAGTTTCACACCAATTACTTTTGTACAATGCTTTACACATCATTGTCAGTATTTTATAGATGCATCAATATATGTCTTTACATTTTAAAGTATATCTCTGAATAAATAATATCTTTTTTGTAACTTAGCCAATGTTTCAATAGTTGCTTTCTTTGCTTTTCCCCGTATTCCTGACCAATGTGACAAATAGGGCACAACCAAGAAGGGAACCTTTTTACATTTATTAAATCTTTTATTTCAAACAACAATCCAAAAGTTGCTTCAAAGCCAACCTCAAGTTGACGTAAAAATGGCGTGTCTGTCCTGGTAAACATGAGCATCATCTGTGTGTGACTGCTGTGCCTTTTCTCCCCTCTCCCAGCTCCGCTCTCTGCCGGCTCCTGAGGCTGAGGCTGCGGCATGAGCCTGTGCGGCAGGAAGGCGCTGACGCTGCTGAGCAGCGTGTTCGCCGTCTGCGGCCTCGGCCTGCTGGGCATCGCCGTGAGCACCGACTACTGGCTCTACCTGGAGGAGGGCGTCATCCTTCCACTCAACCAGAGCACCGAGATGCGCATGTCGCTTCACTCCGGCCTCTGGAGGGTTTGCTTCCTCGCTGGTGAGTTAGGATGAAGTCGGAACGAGCGACGACATGAAGCAAAGCGCTGGAGTGAATCTCTTAAGTGCAAACTGATGTTGAAGTTGGATTTATTTATTTATTTTCACCCAGGAAGCGATAATAGACGACGCGCTATGCAACTGGCAGAACATCTAGTGAGGCGACGCTGTTGTGATAATGATAAAAGAGACAATAACAACGATTTATTTCTTGTTTTTTAGGCATCGGAATGACTGTGAGTCACAGCAATTACAGCCCCACAAACACAAACACTGCTCTGTAGGACACCAGTCACTTAAAGAAGTGTGGGTCGTATCACTGATATGCTCACAGTAACTGCATTAAATCATATTTTCAAATGAATTGATGTTTATTTCTTCCCTCGTTAAAGAAACAGTGGAGAACACAGCAAAATTAACACTCCGAATGATACGGACAGTTTTGGGGGGCTTTAAGCATCATTATTGAAATTTATTATGATCACAATAAATTATAAATGATAAGATGAATGCCCACCACTACACAGCAGGGCTGGTTTCATTTTATTAACTTTTTTTTTAACGCTCAATTTACAACAGTTTCCAACCCTGTCACTCAAAGTGCAGAAATGTGTAACTTTTTCAAATTATTTAAAATTTAGAGTTTCAGGGTCTTGTAAAGTTTAGTTATCTCTAAATTAATCTCGTTCGAAGCATTTACTTTTTAATGCAATGTGTTTCTTCCACATTTTCACCTGCTCTTATTTCCTTTCTTCTCTTTCTCCACTTGAATGCTGCAGGTACAGAAGATCAGTGTCTGTGTGAAGCCGCTGAATACTTGAGCATGTTTCGCTTCTTCTTCTTCACTTTCTGCTCCTCATTTGAACCAGTCGCTCAAACCTTAATGCATGTGTGTGAGCTTCTGCTCTCGCAACTTTTCAGCTACTTTTACTCCAGCTGATCGATGGCTGCTCATCTCTTCTTTCCTCACAGCTTAACCCATGACTGACTTACAATCTGTGCCTCTAAGTTTCTTGGACTGAAACTGATAAAAAAAAAAACAACAACAAAAAAAGAAAACTTGTTCTTGTTCCTTTGAACTTTTCCAATAACATAGATAGTTTGTAATTATTTTAGTCTTTTAGTGCATGGCTTTAGACCAGGGGTGTCAAACTCCAGTACTGGAGGGCTGGTGTCCTGCAACTTTTAGATGTGCCTCTGCTGCACCACACCTGAACAGAATAATTAGGTCATTAAGGCTCTGGAGAACTGAGATACACAAGCAGGAGGTAATTAATCCGTTTCATTCCAGCGGTTTGTACCTGTGGCACATCTAAAAGTTGCAGGACACCGGCCCTCCAGGACTGGAGTTTGACACCCCTGCTTTAGACGGTAAATATCACTGTTCCTCCCCCCAACTGCAGCGCTATGAAAGGCTTGCTTGGATATTTTTAAGAGCACTAACTGTTAGTTTTTAATCTTTCTTAGACACAAAATCCTCCAGGAAACTTTTTTCCCAGAATGAACCAGGTATTACATTTTGCTTCTGCTTTTCTACAAACTATGGAGACTGTACTGCTGTAATACATCTGTGTCTCAATAAATGAGAATTTCAAATGATCCAAAATATTTTTATCCCACCAATTCAGTTCATACTGTGACACGCAGTAGTAGGCTTCATGTGCTTCTTTCTGATTTTAGCTTCAGCTAATTAAAATGCAAAACTTTGTTGTTGTTTTTTCAAGCAGACAACCTTAATACGACAGGAATAAATTTTTGTTCTCATGTTTTGAAGGATTTATTGCGTCGTTCATCTCGTAAGCTGCATATTGAGCATCAGCTCCATCGAAATAACTTTCATTGTTCCCAAGGGACGACTTCAATTCAACACAACACAATTATTTAACAATAAATAAGGCGTGTAATCGTCACTCAGCCACAGCATCAGATGTAACTACTGTACCTTAGATTGTTTTTATTCCAATAACCTGAAACAGGTCAGGTTTATCACTCATCAGTGACGACATTTGTTGCTCCATTTCCGACGAGGGCAAATCTGTCAGCTAAATCGACGTCAGATTGACTTCACAATCTAACTTTCAAATTTGCTGCTGAATTCACACTTGCTGGAAAGCAAAACAAGCAAGTGAGAATTTCAAACCAGGCCACAAACAGCGGCACATGAGATCGACATGAATGTTGAAACGTGGCCTCTTTTTTAGTTTGCAGCACAAGCGATGCATGCATGCGTCATAGATTTCAGTCAGTTCAGAATAACAGTGCTTCCTTCTCTTGTATGTTTTGTGTGTGTGTGTGTGTGTTGTTGTTGACTGTGTGGGTTTTCATCCCAGCGGGGAGTGATCAGAAATAAACTAAGTTCAGCTACAGTCGATTTCATGCTGGTACATCTTGCCCGGTTTAAATCACACACAGTGCTTTTCTTTCCCAAACTTTAAAGGACCGGGGACGTTTTCCAAGAAAATCCACTGTAAACATGAACACACATACAAAGACGTTCACCCTGTTAAAAAAGTACATATACTACTTTCTTTAAAAACACACACACAGCATGCAGTGGTTTCAATTAAGTTTGATCTGTAATGTCCAAGAAAAGAAATATGGTCCCTTTTTTTAAACTCTCTTTACATTTATTATAAAAGTCATAATTTTTCTTTTATCCTGCTGACATTGCTAATATTGTGTAATTTAGCTGTGACCCACACATCTGCAGGTTTACCACATCATTAGTCTGTTTTTTACATGGTATGTTGAGTGAAGATGTCGGAAAAAAGAGAAAAAAAAAATATTGACCAGGTCCAATTTTCCACTGTATAGCTCCATTAACCTCTGACTTGTCCTTTTTTAATCACTTAGTCATAGTAAACATGCATCCAAATCCAGCTGATGTTATCCTGTGACTATCCAGGTCATGCTTGGCAGTAGGCCACACACATTAGCCAGAGGTTCAGTGAATCTTTTAGAGGATATTGAGTGGCCTTATTCGCCATTTAGCTATTGTTGTTGGTAAGTATTTGACCCAAAATCACCAAATTAAAACCTTTTTGGTCAGATGTTCGTGCTCGAGTTTAGATTTATGGCTCAAGCCTGAACCTGAGCCAGCCCAGGTCGGGCCAGATTCTCTGTGGTGGTTTTAATAAGCTGTAGTACGTACAGCACAGAGAAAAGCAAATGAGAATGTACATTAGAAATTTGTTTGGATCCACTTATTATGGTGTAAATAGAGTCGATAGTTTGACTGGTGGAAATGAAAGCGGGTAGGCAGCAGAGATTAGTCAGACTGTAACTAACAGTGTGTGCATGCGGCTCACACTGTTCACACTCATCAATCACACATCCCAGAGGATTTGCTCTTGACTCACCCTGCACTTACAACCAGCCACAAGAAGGAGCTGGAAGACGTTAAACAAGAGCTAAGAGCAGGAAAAGGTACACTGTTTACTTAAATGGTGGTCTAAAATAAAAATAATAATTAAAATAATATATTTGTTTTACTTGTGGCACGGTTCTGTTCGGGCTCAGACACAATATCTACATCCTCAAATGGGCCCAGTCTGATTTTTAGGGCCCGCTCTAATTCAGGCCTCGTTCACATCTGCCACTAAAATCCATCTGAGGGATTTATTTCACTCAAGTTGACTGCGTCACATGTAAACAAGCTTCTTGACTGAGTCAGAGCACGTCCACCTTTGTGATGAAGGTTTTTAAAACTTCATCACAAGTGCACTGAATCACTTTGGCTACATTATCACAATAGGAGCAACTTGCAGAGACCAGTTAACACAACATGCACGGTTTTGTAGTGTGGGAGAAAGAACTTAATTAGAAATCATATAAATGATTTTTGTTTATCTTTATAGCACCCTGACTATGCTGATTATACTTTTAATGACCGTTTTATATAGCTGTGAACAACAAAAAGCTACAGCGTGGTAATATGTGGTTGTATATTTTTAATTCATGAACCCATGCTGGGAAAGCTAGTTAGATATGCAGAGTGACCAAACCTCACCTCTTCTGACGCCTCGCTGTTTGGGGTTAATGAAACGCTGAGGAAACACACTTAGTGTCGGGTTTTACAGAGTGCGTATGAAAAACAGAAGGTGCTAAATTCTAACGTTGGGTTTTCTTCAAGCACATGCTGATGCCTTACATCAGCCAGCCTGTAGAGATGATATTTCTTTTCAACATCACTTCCTGCAGAGTCACAGATGGCATAAATAGAAGCTCTCTCACCCAGATTCACAAAATGTTCTCGATCCAGCAAAACGTAGGTGAAAGCTAAATGTTTCCCAGCGAGGCTGAGTTTTGCTTTGTCTCATTTGGGAGGCAAAACTGTGTAGTCAATTACAAAAAGTTTTCCTGATTCAAAGGCTTTCTTTTTCCTTTGTTTCTTGGTTTCAGGTGAAGAGAAAGGCCGATGTTTTACCATTGAATATGTGATGCCTACTAATGTCCAAATAACGTCTGAGTCCACCGTCAGTGTGCTCAGTAAGTATTCACTCACTCAAACCTTTCAAACTACACACAGCATGAATTCAAACTGGATTTGGTTTCAAAAAGAGTTCAGGCTGGGTGAAGAGATTCTGGTTTTCCGAGATTTAAAAGCAAAAACCCAATGAGACAAACAAGAAAGTCAATCTTCAAGAAAGTTGTGTTGTTTTAATACACAACAGAGGAACGAACTGCTCAAAATCTTTAAACTTCTTCCTCTAATATGGACTTTAAAAAAAATCACTTCTCTCCTGTTGTCTTAGAGATGATCCGCTCTGCTACACCGTTTCCTCTGGTCAGCCTCTTCTTCATGTTCATCGGCTTCGTGCTCAGCAACATCGGCCATATCCGACCACATCGCACTATCCTGGCATTTGTTTCTGGAATCTTCTTCATCCTCTCAGGTACCTTGCGTAGAGTCCAACAGTGACGCGCGCCGTCGCCTGCGTTAAATCAGTGAATACGATTTCCATGAGAAGCGTCACTGACCCGCCTCACGGCGTCCCGCAGGTCTGTCTCTGGTTGTCGGTCTGGTTCTGTACATCTCCAACATCAACGATGAAATGTTGAACAGGACGAAAACTAACGAGGCTTACTTCAGCTACAAGTACGGCTGGTCTTTTGCATTCGCCGCCATCTCCTTCCTGCTGACAGAGGTGAACTTCATAACTAATCGTTTCTGTCTCGGTTGCCACTGTTTCTGTTTAACGGAGACTTGCAAACGTTTTCCAGCCGCTTGTGGTTTTGCACAGCTTGTCATACATCAGAGTTTATTTAACTGTCTTATTTAACTCTTGTATTGGAAATATTTAACAGACCAACTTAAATCAGTACATAAATGGGGGAAAAACTATTTCACAACTTATACAAATGAAAAAAATGCATCATGCATTTGTGTTCAGCCCCCCTTTACTCTGATGCCCAAATTGCCTGTTGAGAAGTCACACAATCAGAGAGCAACTGGGTGCTACAGAATGAGAAATTCCATTAAATTGACTCTAAACTTACAGAAAAAAGTACAATTAGAGAGTGTACGTCAAACAAACAGCACTTGCATGTGTTAAAATGGTCTAGTCAAAGGCCAAACCTGAATCCAATTAAACATTGTGGCAAGAGTTGAAAATATTTGCACTTCATGTAGACTTAATCAGCTTGAGTTTTCTGTGAGGAAGAACGGACAGAGCTAGTAACGACATAGCCAAAAAATCCTGAGAAATTACTGTATCAATAATAATAACAATACATATATTTGAATTTTGACTGCAGTGTCACTTAAACACTTGGGACTTGACTTGAGATATTGACTTGTGAGCGTTCCCTCAGCGTGAAAGTCGACCTTGACCCTCCTGTGTTTCCCGGCTCTTCCAGACGGCGGGCGTCATGTCGGTGTACCTGTTCATGAAGCGATACACGGCGGAGGAAATGTACCGGCCCCATCAGGGCTTCTACCGGCCCCGCCTCAGCAACTGCTCAGACTACTCCGGCCAGTTCCTCCACCCAGACGCCTGGGCGGGGCGGGGCCGCAGCCCCTCCTCCATCTCCTCCGAGGCCTCCCTGCAGATGAACTCCTCCAACTACCCCGCCCTCCTCAAATGTCCAGAGTACGAACAGATGTCCTCCTCGCCCTGCTGAGGTGCGGGTCCCACATCGATTTAGTCGATTTAGTTTAATTTTTTCCTGCCCTCGCTTTGGCATTTCGCTGTCAAATAATTTGATATCATCCATTTTGAAATTGACTTGTCTCTTTGGACGCTGGTAACATTTCTCTTTGCTCTCTCAACTGCTCCGTTCGTAGCTTTGGTTTTGGGTTTGAAGGAAGCGAAGCATGAGGCTGCTCCATGTGCTTCGGATGGAAGAGGAAGGTTCAACTCCCGCTCCGTTATTTAATGACTCATGCAGACTTTGCATGTAACACACACACACACCCACACACACACATCCAAACATATGGCTGGGAGGTTTACATAGAAAGCATTAACCATTCGGTCTTGTTGCCGACTTTAAGGAAACTTTCTCACAAAAGTTTATTTCATTAAAAAAAAAAAGCTATATCATAAAATTTCTTTACAAGCTGCAGTTCACTGCTGCTAATGTGTCGTGCAGATTCTTTTTTTGAGCATGTTTACATTATGTTAAGAACCACGTTTCAGAACAAACGGTTTGAATGGCACAACTCTGCAGAGATCCTCTCACACCACGTAAAATCAACTTTATTATATAAAACTCCTTTTTATATAAGCAAGAAGTTATACGGGCATAACATGATGGGAGTGATTATGAAAACTGGTGACTTTCATTTGTGTATTTATTGTCTAATTTCTATTCTCAGAGTATTTCACTGTACATTCTCATGTTTGACAAACCTTCGGTCAACTTCCAGAAGTAGAATCGATTTTAACCTCACTGCACTGGCACTAAGAAGAAACGACGGGTTTTGCATTTTAAACCACTCATGTAAAGGTGCATTGAAGCTGTTATTTGAATTTGTGAATGACTGTTTCAATTTATACGTACGTGTCATGTGTACATGCAAAGCTAAATATGCATATATGTATAGATTTTACCTCGCTCTCTCGATTTGTGGTGCAAAAATGCACAGTAGCTTTACTTTGTAAAGCAGAAAATGTGTTCTTGGCCCAGCAGGTTGGTACAGGAGGTGAAGTGAGGTAACATTTCTAAAGAAAGCAAGCAATCTGTTGATTGTGGTCATCAAATCAAATGGATTTGCAGATGTAAAGTGTGATAAGACCGGAGGGGACGTGTGGTTACTCATGTTTGAGGTGGAATGTGATTGAAGTCAGGTGGAGTTAAGAACTATTTTCATATAAAATTGTCGTGAATGTAAGACGTGCTGAAAGAAAACACTGCGAAAAGAGATTTCCTGCTTTGAATACCTCCCCAGACGGGACAGTATGCAGTATTAACCCAAATTACAGACATATTTTTGTAACACCTTGTAAGACCAGAACGTGCAGATGTATGTGTCTACATGTGTGCATTTAATGCAGCAGCAAGCATTCACTGGATACATATATTTAGTCTCGTGCAATCACTTGCCCAGTGTTTTTATTGAAATTATTGTCATTATATGATGTTGCATGGTGTAAATGCCACGTGAAATTACTGGTTTGTAGCATTCGGTCGCTGAAACGCGACACATTCAGTGCATCACAAAACACAAAGAGTTCAAGTCTCGCTCTTTTGGACCGTTCTGGTAGGCTGAGCTGTAAACAACAACAACAACAAAAAAAAAGAAGTTGCTCATTTTAAACGCTGTACATATTAAATCATTGGCGTGCACATAAACTCCTTTCTGTATAAATGGCGGTGTATGTAATATAATGTAATGGTGGTACATTATGTTAGGTTGTGTCACCTATGTAGCTCCGTCTGCCTCCTGATTCCCATCAACAGTGTGAGCTTCTGCGTAATGTTAAGCTGACATGTGGTATATAAATACATGGTATCAAACAAGAAACCTGTATGTGCATATATATATGTATATACTGCAGTCATATTCACAGTGTTAAATGTGAACTGGATGGTATGAAAATAAAATTAATGTGATTTGCTAAATGCTGGCTGTTTTCTCTTTGACTACTACAGCTCCTAAAACATTTCAATCTCCCTGAAAAAAAAAAAAAAAAAAAAAAAAGTGTATGCAGTTCCACCAAAGCTGCAGGATTTGAGCTCCCTGTTGACAGTCCCCAGAAAAAACGTTTTGTTGTGCGCTACCGCCACCTACTGGAGTGATGAGTGCGTCTGCAATTTTAACTATAACATGCATCTTGTCTTGTTAAAGCCTCTGGTTCTTACATTATGACAAAGACAATGAAAAGCATGATGTGTGTATGCAGACCACGTAAGAATACTCTGATATACTTTTGGAAAAATATTCACAAAATAACTAAATATTGTGAATACGTTGAAAAATGTGTTTTGCTCTTACGGGAAATATGGGTGCTGATGCAAATGTAACATGTTGCCAAAAGTATTGGGTCACCGGCATTTACGCACACATGAACTTAAATGACGTCTCAGGCCTGATATAAAGATGAAGATGTAATACAGCTCCAACTCTTGCTTCTATGACAGTCTGCAAGATGATGGTATGACTTGAACCACAGTCTACTCTCCATCCCGAAGCTGTTCTGTCAGGTTGGGATAAGAACTCTGTGCAGGGGCCTTCGACTTCGTCCTAGAGAAAAATCCACGTGTTTTCGGACTTTGTTTGGTGGAGTGCTGTGTGGTAAAGTTGGAACAGGAAAGAACTGTCGCCCAGAGAGGTATGTCTCATCACCCCAAAGAACGTGATCTGATTGTGTCTAAAAATTGAGTCTGAAGGAAGCAGAGTGTAAATAAAAAAAAGAAGAGGACTAAGGATTAAACCCTGAGGAACCCCTCAGAAAGGAGGGGTAAAGTGGACAGAACAGTTTCGATATTAAAACTAAACATTCTGCTACTCTAGCAGAAATGAAGCCAATCTGGTGTTCGAGGCGAGAGATATGAAAACTGTGGTCTACAGCATGAAACGCTGCTTTAACATCTAAAGGCACAACAATCAGAGAGCTTCCAGAACCATCAGATGATTAAAGACCTGCTAATGTGCTTAAACTTTGCTGTGATATAAATTTTCGAAACCAGACGGGAAAACCTCCATGATGCCACTAGTTTCCCAAAATACATACAAGGCGGGTAGAAACTATTTTCTCCAGTATCTTCCAAAGAATGAGAGTTTTGAGTTTTGAGGGGGATACTCCTTTAAAACGCCATGAAGGCATCTGCAGAGCAACAAGAGTGCTTCATTTGTATAACCACCTTTTTAAAACCTGCAAATGAAACAAATCGAAGTAAGAACAGAAATGGAGAGGTGGAGTGTCGGGAGGAAAAGCGGTTTGCAAGGAAACGAAAGGATTGATTACATGTGTCAGCAGAGGCTTCAGGGTGGATTATCTTATGGAGAAATTTCCAAATCTGGACTTATTGTACAGTGTTAAATTATGCTAATGCTTAAAAGATGTGCTAATCTCCAGGGTTTTTCTTTTTTTTTTACACGTTTTAACGGCTTTATAGTCGTCTTTTCATTGATTAAACAAAAACATTTTACTGCATTTTAAAGTAAAAAGAATAAAAAATTACTTTTTCCCGAAGTTTTTCATGTCGTGATTCGGTTCAATAAAAGTGAAAACACTTTTAAATCTTCACAAGAAGTGAGCAAACAGGAAATCCTACCATTGTTTTAATATGACAGTAAGTGTTTTCTTTTAACCTTGACATAGGTATGTTTTTGCTTTGTTTTCTTCAGCAAAACTTAACATTTAGCTGCTGCTAAAAAAATACAAAAATATCACCATCTGCTGACTTACAAGTAGAAAAGCATCACTGGTGCAGAATTAAAAAAAAACTCAAATCTGCCTTTTGTCTGTTTTTAATTGGACACTTTTCTGGGTTTTGTTTTTGAAATTTAGCCATGAATGAAATATTTAAAGATAACAGTGGGTAATTGTTTAAATGGGCCTGTAATTCCACTCTGACCAATCACATGTTAGACATCAGTGTGACTGTAGGAGCTGGCATTCATCCGTCTGGGTTCATGGGACGGAATTGGTGCTAATGCTAATGAAAGGATGATCTGCAAGCATAGTGAGAGATTCTGACCCAATGAACTTTAGACAGGAACTATTCATTGACTGACTGGAAAAAAAGTTCTGACTTTTAATACCACTGAAAAGAAAGAGATAGAGAAAAAAAGCCCACATAAACAGCATAAAATACTCTTTTTTTTTTTAAATTAATGACCAGTGTTGACTTTTCTTGCTGTGCTTTGTTTAGTTTTTCTCAATAGCTCCATCTAATGTCACCATTGTGACTATTGAGTAACAACAGTGACATATATTTGGTATATTTGTATATTTCCTCACTTTGGTAGAAATAATTTCCACCAAAGTCTCAGTTTGGTGCTTTTAAAGAACATAAATATGAATACACACACATCGATGCTATTTCAGCATTCAACAACACTTTATGATCTCTTCCTAAAGGCAGATGAAGTGACAAATATGCAATTTAAAACGATGACAAAACGCAACTTGATTAAAGTTAAATCATTATTTAGGTTGTGACTGAAAGTAAGTAACTGTACCTGAAATCTATTAGTTGCGTGAAACACCTTTTCGGTTTCTTATTTTCTGTTTTTGTTTTGCTCTTTATATTTACAAAAAACCCCTCATACTTTCTGCGCCAGCCGTCCTTGAATATGAACAGGAAATTAATCATTATTTTTTTCTGTTTTTACTGCTACAGGCAAAATTTTTGAAATACTGCTCCTCATATACCTAATAACTGGGTCTGCAGCTTTGAAATAATATCTATCTATCTATCTATCTATCTATCTATCTATCTATCTATCTATCTATCTATCTATCTATCTATCTATCTATCTATCTATCTATCTATCTATCTATCTATCTCTATCTATCTATCTATCTATCTATCTATCTATCTATCTATCTATCTATCTATCTATCTATCTATCTATCTATCTATCTATCTATCTATCTATCTATCTATCTATCTATCTATCTATCTATCTATCTATCTATCTATCTATCTATCTATCTATCTATCTATCTATCTATCTATCTATCTATCTATCTATCTATCTATCCAATATGGACTAAACCTCACTTCACTAATTGCTCCCTGCCAACCATGCAGGTTCACACAGCAGACCTCTGACGCCACCGTGTGGTGACCGAGCAGCACCGCAGGGCGACAAACAGCATGTGTGTGCAGCTTTGTGCCGTGCAAACAAGTTGTTTTTATTATTGTGATTCTGTTCCTCTTCTTTATTGTAAGAGCGGATGCAAGAAGCAACTGCTGTGAGAAAAAAACAAAGAAAGGAAAACTTGCTCTGAGCCAAGACTGGAAACATGTCTGAACCATAAACTGTCTGCGTTGGGCTCTCTGAGCTTGTAACTTTATTAGCCGGAAAAACAGAGATGTATAAATCCTCTGCTTAATTGCTACCTCTAAAATAAGCCACGGGTCTCTGTGTCTTCAATATTCTGTAAGAGAAGAAGACATGCAGAAAAAAGAAAAAGAGAAATGCTGCTGTAAACTACAGCTTGCCAGCAAGGCTCTGACAGCCTGGGGGCTGACGATGTGTTTGCTTTTTATTTATTTATTTATTTGTAGCTTCATCTCACGTGGTTTTATTTCTCTGTTTTGCTCCAGACACTGTCTGCACTTAGAGCGTCTTTTGTAACCTCAGCAGACGGATGGATCCACGCAACTTTGAGTGAAATGAATGTTGGTTCTGACTTTGACTAGGACTTTGCAGCCCACCAGGTGTTTTCTGCTCATTCCGCTGCAGATTTCTCATCTCACTTAAGATTTTCCTCAAGATCTCTGATGCAAATTGGACCAAGATCTCTCTGTGAGACAGAGGAAGAGAGACCGCATGTGAAATCTCTTGGCCTGGTGTCGGCGTTGTGGCCGATGACCGGACGCTTTCCTCGTGCAAAGCAGATCAAAGTCTTCTCTCATCTGAACTAAAACATGAACATGAAGTCGTTTCAAATTCGACTCATCAGAGTTCCCTTTTACGTTTTAAAACGTTCTCTCTCGTCTCCTCTCCAGCAAACTTTTACTTCAGACCAATTTGCAACTTTTGTGGCTAATTAGCTTGCCTTCTCTCTCTCAGTCTGTCTAAAGAACTCTGAGCCCAAAATGCTTTTGTCTTCATCCTAAAATTCTGCCAGAAATTGGTCTGAATTTGCCCAGATCACTGGGCATCTGAATTTGTCAGAGAAAAGAACCCGCATGCAGTGGCGGTTGAAGGCCTCGGTTTGTGGCTCCAAAGGGTTTCGAGACGTCAGAATGACAGGCGAATTCTGCTTTCTGTCCCTGGATCAGGCAGACTGTGACAACCCTTGAAAAACTCAAAGAAAACAGAGAGCTCGCTAATGATGCCATAAGAGCCAAATTTGCAAGAAAGAACAAAAAAAGGAAGAGGTCACAGAAAACGTTGGTGTTTGACATAAAGCCAAAAGAGGAAAACAGCATCAGAAAGATGGAAGCTGGAGAGATGGAAGACATCAATTAGTCGAATAAAATCTCAAGCATGGCAGGGGGGCGGGGCGGACGTGAATAAGCCAAACAGAATCTCTGCACAAAAATGACAATCATAATTAAATTCACTATCTGTGCTGCCCCCAGCGGGCCCCTCCTCTCTACCACATCCGCTTTGGTAAAGATGGCTTTCACAAGCTCATGTCGACTCACAACGGCTCCTTTTATTTATGCGAAAGCATCTCAAGGACGATGTGCTCGGAGGCCAACCGCCGACAGCAGGCCGAGATGAAGAGGATGAGTCGGGGCTGCGCCCCCAGCAGGACGGGAGGCTCTGAACACAACCCACGGCTCTGGCCTCACATAACTCAGATTCATGTTGCTTTTAACTGGCAGCATGAGTTGCTGTTTGTGGCAGCGAGCGTCTGTGCAGTTTGGTGATTAGCTTTTGGATTTCTTTGATTTGTGATGTTAGACATTATTGGACTTCTCGTCAGGATATCGGCTTGGGTGTTTTTTTATTTATTTGGGTTGGAGGTTCTAGGTTCCTGGTTTTGAGCATTTATTCAAGTTTGTGTTTTTTAAATAAAGCAGCCGGAGTAATTTTGCTTTTCCTGTCACACGGATGCCTTGTAGGCTCATATTTGCTGTCATATATATATATAATACACACGCACAGTGATTGCCCCATATCACATTCACCCAGTCCACTGCATTGATTAACCCCATAATCAATAAGTAAAGGTAAACAGCTCAGCAGACTCTGCTTGACTGAGCCGAAAATGTGACTCTGTCTACTGCAGGTTTTCCTTCCCCTCAACTTTCCACTAATACATATGTATGTCATGGGTGACCTCATGATCACCAGCTACATGCCTGATGTACGCAGATGATTTGGGTCGTAACTATAGTTACATATTCTCCATTACGTTTGGCTTTTCTTTTTGAAAACACAAAAAAACTTTTAGGAGTATTTTTTTTTTATAACGCTCCACTTTCTTTTACTTGAGTGATCTCATTTTGAAGATTGAGTCACATTTCTGGATTCTCTACCTACTGAGTGAAGAAAGGAGAGAAACATTCACCCGTCTAAGACTCACGCCTGCAGTTTCTCTTAAAGCTTCATGTGTTTTAAATTGACAGAAACTGATTTGGAAAACAAATATTTTTGCCTGATTTTTTTTTTTAAATGAGCAGCATTTTTGTCCTTAAAATTAAAAGTTTCAACTTTTAACTGGCTTTGCTCTGTCTGATGATGTAATTTGTAACGACTAAATGACTGATAAGTTATAAGTACTTAAGTACTTTTTAGCAGTTTGATTTTTTTTTGCTTTGTTTTGTTTATGTTCTTCTTCTTCTTCTTCTTTCTTCTTCTTCTTCTTCTTTCTTATTATTATTATTATTATTATTGTTATTCTTCTCTTCTTCTTCTTCTTCTTCTTCTTATTATTATTATTATTATTATTATTATTATTATTATTATTATTATTATTATTATTATTATTATTATTATATTTTAATTTTTTTACCAGATACTCTTTCACTCTTACTTGAGTGAAAAATGTGTTGAAGTGTAGCTAATTTGACCTGAGGGTGATGTTTGGATGCTCTGACCTCTGGTCCACTTAGTGCTGACCTTCAACAACTATTGAGGATTTGCTCCAAATATGATGATGACTTTGACATCAAGTTTAAATTAGAGCAAGAAGAGTTTCAAGCGATTCCTCTTACTTATCTTTCATATGTCTTTCTTTTATACAATGTTGAGGTTTTTAAAGAGACAGAGCCCCATTTCAGAGGCGTTGAATCAGGAAACGTCTCTTCTGTCAAGTCGTGTTTGATATGCAGCGTTTTGATCAGATGACGTGTAGTTTGACAAGGTAACGAGACGCGTCACACTTTAACAGAAAGACTCTTGCACAGACACTGGGAAATAGAACAATGCCGTAAATATTATCTTTTTTTAAATTTATGAGCTATGACGTTGCACAACGCCTCCAACCTCAAAGTAATTTTGACGGATGCTCTTTTCCCGAACAGATGTCCTATTTATTTATTTATTTATTATACTTTGAACTTAAAAGTCAAACGCAAATCAGATTTTCCTCTACTGTACATTTTGAAGTAGGGATCAGCGTTAAATGCTTTTCTTCTGCGTCTCTCTTTTTTTTTTCTTCCGTCGTCATAAAATCATCGCCACTTGAAGCGACGTCTTCTGCTCTTCGCGCGGTTCCGGTTCTGTTTCCTGTCCGGGTTCGGCTGGAAGGTGTGGCCTGGATGCGCCATCCATTGTGCGCTTCAACGCCAAAACACTAACTCCGCGTCTGGTTAGTGCACATTTGGTTTTGATTTTTTCCTTTATTTCTTCCCTTCTTTTTTTTTTTTTTTTGAACTATTAATTTATCGACAAAAAAAAAACAGCAACAAAAACAACTGACTTTACATGCTCGTCTAAAGATTTCTTTCTTTATTATTATTATTATTTCCACCTGTGGCTTTTCTAATCGTCGCCCTCAGCGGAATAATAATAATAATAATAATAATAATAATAATAATAATAATAATAATAACAAAAAGAAGATCTTTGCTTCTCGTACAGAACTCTGATTGAAGTTTAAGGAGAGGGGAGAAAAAAAAGAGGAGGAACTAACCGAGAAAGGATCGACTCTTTGGGCTTTTTGGCGATTTCTCCACGGTGCGTCAACGCTCAGCCTCTCGCTGCGTGCGTAAAAACCTGCTGCTGGAGGAGGACGCGCTACAGCGATGAGACGCCATGGCATGGTGTGACCGAGGCGCTCAGACTCTGCTGGCCATCGCCGGGGCTTTCGCCGCTTTCAGCCTGATGACCATCGCTATCGGCACCGACTACTGGCTCTACTCCCGGGCGCACATCTGCAACGCCACCAATGTCTCCGCCGACGACTCCCAGACGCAAAGCAGGAAAGTGAAAGGGGACCTGACGCACTCCGGACTGTGGAGGATCTGCTGTATCGAAGGTACAGACAAAATACAATCTGTATCAGGGCGGCGGAGGTTTGAAACTTTTCTATCTTTTCTTCCTGTTTTCCTTTCTGGCGCTCATTGTTTCTCATTCTTTGAAGCATCAGATTTGAAGTTAAACCTGAAGAGTTGCTCAAACAAGAAGAACAGAATAAAGATGTTTGAAAGCCTAACTAAAGTTCGTCAATAATAACACTGTGGGGTGGAAATGATCACTTCAATGATCAGTCATCTCTTTTTTTTTTTGGTCTTTTTAACCATAACCAGCCCATTTGTCCTGCTGATGCTTTTGTCGTTTAGTTCTGCAGCTCGTCTGATCCCTGAGGAGTTCTGGCTGAGTGTCTTGTGTTTGGACAACAGATCGATATTTATTTATTTATTTGGTTGATTCTGTTGTCCTTTTGTCTCGGTTCTGAAAATTTTTCCTGTGAGTTTTTTGTTTTTGTTTTTTCAGCCTTATATAAACCAAATGTTTTAAGGCAAGGCACCAGTTTTTAACAATGTGTTAGATAGAAAAAAAAAAACACAAAAAACCCAGAATGAATAAAGTAATAAGTGAAGAGTGCCAGCAAAAAAAGAAAAAAAAGAAAAGGAACAACAAAAATCAATTTGAATAAAAGTAAAAAATGCTAATTGAAGCAGCCAGGACATCCTAAAAATGAACTGGGAAACGACTGTTTCCTGAATATTGTCTCCCGTTGATCATTTCTGGTTCTGTGAATGCTGTGCGCTGATTTGCAGGCCAGTGATCCGTGCTGCTGGTGTTGGTCAGGACCCTGGCAGCAGCTTGAGGGGTGAGCCGAAGCTGTTCTTGTCCTCCTCCTTTTTTTATGCGCAGAACCCAGCAGAGACGTCCCTGCAGTAAATCAAACCTACAGAGCACAAAAAAAAACAGCTTTTCGTAAGGGCAGATCTGTTCCGCCTGATCCTACATGAAACGGTTGTCCGAGGTGTTTCAGCAGGCAACTCTGGGGCCTCTCAGCCTCAGAGTTCTTGATTCATCACGGCCTGCAGAATTACACAAAATAAACCAAGTAGACCGTACAGCAGTTGTCATTTTATAAATTCAATATGGAAAACAAAGCAATAATGCCCTATGATTTTAAATAGTGTATGCAATTTTTAAAAAAAGAAAAAACCGTAGTAGCTACAGGGGTGAGGCTTTATATTAATTACACCTTCACGCTCATGCTGAAGTAGTTTGTCAGAGAAGATCAATATTACTGCCTTGTTAATAAGATATGAGCTAAACCAGAAAGCTAATTATTAGCATGGAGTCTGTAATTAGGGCTGACTGACTGTACTGCCTCACTCTGACCATATTGGATTAAACATGGATTGAATTGGACCGTGAGTTTTTTTCGCTCAGATTGACTCTGGTTAATCTGTACAAAAATGGATTATGTAAACGTGTAAATGTACATAAATCAGGTTTGCATTTGCAAACCTCTTGTTTCGTTGTTGTTCTGTTGACTTTTAAACAACATTGTTCAGACATATTTTAATTTGTTTTAAATGCTTTTTTTTGGCACTCGTGGATATTTTTCAACAGCAGATTTAGAAATTCAGATAGAGAAGGGGGCTGATATGCAGCAAGCAGTTAGAGGCTGGGAATCGAACCGGGGACCACTGCGTCTGGGATGATGGCATCTGCATTTGTCCGATGTGGTGCCCCGTTTTTTAATTTTTAATAAGAAATGCTCAGTGAGGTCGTTAGGTAGAAACATAGACACAAAATTAAAGTGGCGTGAGAACTGTGCCCTGAGGAATCCCTCTGATGTGCTTGATAATCACAAAAACAAATAAGACATACCAGCCAAAGCAAATTAGCAGACAACCTCGCAAGGACTGAAATTCATAATTGTTAAGACGAATGTCTGGTGTTGTTGAAACACCCGACCGGAAACCATCGGAGAGATTTTTGTTTTGAAACCTCCAGATTAGGCTTTTAAAAAGGGTTTGATTACTTCTGCAGCTGCAAACATCTGTAAATACGACGTAGTCTTTGTCGAGCACAAGCTCAGAGGGTTGCATTTCTTCCGTTTAGCTTCTGTCACTCATTGAGAGTTGTCAGTGTTGTGGCTGCTGGAGTTGACGCGACGAGGCAACACTTTCCAAGACGTTTAATCATGCGCTCATGAATACAGTCATTATAGTCAAAGTCGTACTCCACGCACAAAGTCTGTACAATTATGAGTCATCCTGGAATTTCGTACGGACGGGGGAAAAAAAAAAAAAAAGGATTGCAATGCTATTTATGGATTTCATGTAAAGTTAATCAAAAGACACCATCCCTCCGCTCCTTGCACTTTGTAAGAAGCTGCAAGAGGCTTGAAATGGATTGCAGAGTGTTCCTAAACGTCTCTTCCCAGCCAGCTCTTAAGGCTGAAGAGGGGCGCTGAAAGAAAAAATCCAAAAAATAAGAAAAATCTCATAAGACGCTTTTTTTCCTTGTCTTTCACACAGGCACATTTGATACAAAAACACATCTGCGCAGACAAAACGACTCCAATCCCTGTTTTTGTCTGTGGTTCGGTATGTTAAAGAAGGCGACCGTGTTGCCAACATGAGATTAAAACACTATTTCACTTTCTGCAGTCGCCTTTCTGTGGTGTTTCTTTATTTTGTGCCTTTGTGGATTTCCCTGCCTTTAGGCGATTTAAAGTCTAACCAGCTCTATCGGGCAAAATGAGCAGCATAAATAATTGGTTTAGCTTAAGGGGACGCTGTCTGACTTTTATTGGGGAAATCATACAAACACCACGCCTTGTGACAAGACTAAAGAAAGATCTCTGACTTAAGGAGTGCATCTATCACCAAGTCTGACATTACGGTCAAATCCAGATGATTAACAGATCTCCATATTCTCCACTGTGGCCCAGTCTTGGGTGTCAGAGGTTGTGCGTGTTAGTCGGGCTCCTGAACGCATCAGCGAGATGTCGAAGGCGTCCTCTGAGGAGCGGCAATAGAAATGTGATTCTGGCTTGTGTAGAGGCTGGAGGTGGGGGCTGGAGGTTGCTATGGTGAGGCTATGCTGAGTAATAAAAGACGGGCTCCAATCTCTCAGACAAATGGGCCCCGGGGAGACGCCTCCCTCAGTGAGCTCACTGTGTGAGCAGCACAGTGCTCGGTTCTGCTGCGATACCCCCAATTATTTCCTCATTGGCCTTCTGCGCACATCTCCAGTCTTAACTGCCATCTTTTACTCCACAGAGGATGCAACTTTTCAACAATGCAAGGCTATTGTGTTACAAAAGTGACTGTTTATTTTTTTCTTCAATAGCACCCTGTATGTCAGTGTATCAGGACTGAAACGATTAATCGCGATGAATCGATAACTGAAATAATCGTCTTATAAATTTAGTAACTGATTAATCATTAAGCAGTCATTAAACAACACACCTCAGAGCAAAAAAAAAAAAAGAGTCATACAAAATATGCATTTTGTATTTTACAATAAAAAAAAAAACATCTTGGTAAATATGTTTTACCCAGAACTCCTGAAATCGTATCGTTTCAGCCTCACCTGGCACAAATTCTGTAACTAAAACAAATAAAATCTACCTTTTAGTACCTTTTAATATCTATTAATAAAAAAAAAATGCAATAAACAAATCATCCCTGCCCTGTATTGACTTTAAGTCATTTTGATGTTAGTGGTATATTTTCCAGATGCATCCTTTACTTCAAATGATCCAACGTTCACTAAGGGAATGCTACCTCCTTGAATTTAAAGCAATACAATTGTTTTTTATTTTACAAAAAGCATTTCTAATGTTCTTTATACATACATATATATATATATATATATATATATATATATATATATATATATATATATATATATATATATATATATATATATATCTCAGGTATGAAAAACTGGAGTCTCAGAGTCTCAGGTATGAAAAACTGGACAGCACCAGGGCCTGACATGATCCATGCCCACTGGCTAAAGAAACTCACTGCTCTCCATGAGCGACTGGCAGCCCAAATGAACCAGCTGCTACAAAGTGGGACTCACCCTGAATGGTTAACTGAAGGGCGGACAATCCTAATCCAGAAGGATCCATCAAAGGGTCCAGTCCCACCCAACTACCGACCAATAACCTGCCTCTCCACAACCTGCAAGTTCATGTCAGGCATCGTAGCGGCCAAGATAAGCAAACACATGGATAAACACATGAGCACGGCACAGAAAGGTATCGGTGTAAACAGCAGAGGAGCCAAACACCAACTCCTCGTAGACCACACAGTTGCCAAAGACTGCAAAACCCGACACACCAACATGTGCATGACTTGGATTGATTACAAGAAAGCCTATGACTCAATGCCGCATACTTGGATCATTGAATGCTTAGAGATGTATAACATCAACAGGACTCTGAGAGCCTTCATTGCAAACTCGATGAGGCTGTGGAAAACCACCCTTGAAGCCAACTGTAAACCACTTGCACAAGTGTCCATCAAATGTGGCATATACCAAGGAGATGCTCTGTCCCCGCTACTGTTCTGCATAGGCCTGAACCCCCTCAGCCAAATATACGGATACCGACTCAAAAATGGGGCCAATATCAGTCACCTACTCTACATGGATGACATCAAGCTGTATGCCAAGTGTGAGCGAGACATCGACTCACTGATCCACACCACCAGGATCTACAGCACTGACATTGGGATGTCATTCGGACTAGAGAAATGTGGTCGGCTGGTCACAAAGAGGGGGAAGGTGATCCGCACAGAAGGAGTCTCACTCCCACAAGGAACAATAGCAGACATAGAGGACAGTTACAAGTACCTAGGTATACCACAAGCAAATGGCAACCTCGATGAGGCCACAAGGAAAGGAGCCACAGCTAAATACCTCCAACGAATAAGGCAAGTCCTGAGAAGCCAGCTCAATGGCAAGAACAAAATCCATGCAATAAACAGCTATGCCCTGCCAGTAATCAGATACCCTGCTGGAATAATTAGCTGGCCAAAGGAGGAGATAAAA